AAATGCGAATGAATTTTCATTAGGATTTCCCCCCCCCCCCAAATATCTGCAGAAATGTGGACAATTGAATTTATATTGGGGGGAAACAGAGAAACATAGAGAAACAAAATTTACAGATTCATCCATCCCTAGTGCCCTCCCATTTCTGGAAGGAGGGCATATTTTGGGCAAGAGTGACAGAAGTCAAGACCAAAGTCGCAGGGAATGTAGCCAGCCTGTGTATCTTACTATAGCTTAGCCTCAAGCTTACTGTACAAGCAAGCAAGGGACTGTGGTACTTCAGGGAGTGGAATACCTAGATCACTTTGTGGTTGTAATTTGCTACCCGATGTGTGTTTTATAGTAATGTTTTATTGTTTTTCTCTACTTGGATCATGCACCAATTTGTAGTTTTGAAATGAAATGAGTACAGAAATAGTTTAATTAATAAACAAAAATTTAAAATGACAACACTCCTCAATGTAAATCAGTGGAAACCAACACTGTGTCCTCCAGATGTTGGACTACAACTCCCATCAGCCCCTATCAGCATGGTATACCGCCCTTCATCTGTAGGCCTTGTGTTATTGTCAAGTTTACCTAGGGAAGCATTTGAGCATGCAATCTAATCTAACCCCTTCCCAGGTCTTTGAGAATGCAGTCCCATAAGGACGGCACCATGCACTACCTCTGCACCCCTTTATCAGCCTATTCTCTGCACTCACTTAGGGTACGGTTGGCGCTGCTTTCCCCAGGGCCATCACAGCCAAATCAAACTCTAATGGCCATGCAAACGAATGCACGCCTCTGAAAGAAATAAAAAACAAATTGCAGATTGCTGAAGGGGAGAAAACATAATACTGGGGAAATGGCGTTATTTATTATTTTGTCACAGAAGCGAAGTGGGAACATGGCGTTTTGCTAACTCAGGTGGGGATTCTCTGACCCGGCAAATTCCTTCGTTGTACATGATGGATGGATCCCTGTCAGTGCTGAAACCTGATTATGTCAGGGGAAGAGTCTGTGAAAAAAACCCACAAAAGAGGAGGGGCGGGGAGAGAGAGAAAGAGGAAAATAAAGACAATTCCTAAGCACTAAGGCTTGTATCCAGCTATGTTTTACTCAGAGTAGCCCCACTGACCTACATTAGCAATTTCAGTAGTCCAGTTCTGAGCAGGACTAGCATTGGATATAACAACGATGCTGCAATCCACTTACCTGGGAGAAAGCCCCACTGAGTTAATGGGACCTACTTCTGAGTGAACATGGGTAGGATTGCAGCCTAAGAAAGGGAAAGGGCCGTGACTTTTGTAGTCCTGTGCATGCTTACTTAGATGCAAGACCCACTGAATTCCACAGAACTTGCTCTCGGGTAAGTGAGCATACAATATGCACCGTATATCACTTTCTGAACCTTGGACTTTGGGAAGTTTACAATACCATACCATTTCCCAAAAAGACTGTAGGTTTTGTGGGGGGTTGGGGTTGGGGGGGGGGAATAGAAACTGGGTTGCAGTTCCACCTCAATCCTCATTAGTACTTTCTGGTGTTAAATTGAACTGGGGGAAACCAGTGTGCTCACCTCTGGAATGCGGCCCCCAGAAGGTTCTCTCTGAGAGATGCGGCCCTCAAGGTGAAAGGGTTCCTTATCCCTGGGATGCAAGATGGGAGAGGCATTTTGGCTCAACTCTGGTTTGTACAGCAAGTGAGAAGAATCTGCATCAGTGTGTTCTCATGGGTATGAGAATAGAAGCATTAAGAAAAAAGTATTCCCATTTTTCACCTGTGAGATGCTGTAGGTAGGGTATATGGACGGCCTCACCACACCTCACAGGTTGTGTCTAGCAACAGAGGAAACCTGTTTTTCAAAGTTAGGAAATAATTTGTGTGTCACATACGCAAAGAAATATACGGATATTGTTGTTCGGTAGGAGCCTTTAAGCTGCAAAAGCCAGTTAAAACTCGATTAACCTGGCATGACTTCAAACTGCTTAGGAAAGCTAATTTGGTCGGTTTTTCACAGGACAGAGAGGTTGCAAAGTGATGCATATCCGGTTTGGGAATATTCACATTTTCTGCATGGCTGCCTCGTCATGTGAAAAAAAAATGATGGCAGAAGAAACCATAGGCCTTGTGGGTAGGGGATGTCAGACAGTTCTAGTGAAAACAGAAAAGGAAGTGGAAATTGCAGTAGGTTGCATGTTCGTATGTGGTCCAGAATGGAAATCGGAGAAAGGAATATGACTGGCATTCGTTCACACAGGTTTTTTTGGTCAGGTCCACAAAAGATATGTAATTAATGGCTTTTTTCATGCTGTTTGGATGTTTCCTTTGCTTTAAATAGTTACATAACTTGTGTTAAATAGCAGTGAGCAAGACAAACAATGAAGTTTTTGGATGAACTCTGCATGGTTCAGAAGCTCCAATTTAGTGCAATTCAACATGAACATATCATATAACACCAATTCTGTTGCAACTACAATGGCTGCTTGTATGTTTCCAAGCTCAGTTCAAAGTGCTGGGGTTTTTTATGTATAAAGCTATTTACAGCTCAGGAACCCAAAATCTCCCAGAATGCCTATAGGTAAAAAGGTACCTTTATCTCAGTACTGTATGAAACATACCCAGGCCCTTGAATCTTCCTCTCAGGTCCTGGAGGGTGGTGACAAGGGAGAGGGCCCTTTCAGTTGTGGCTCCCCATTTATGAAAGGCTCTCCCCAGTAAGATTCACCTGGCACCTTCATTCACATAGTTTCAGTCTCAGGTTTTTGATAAAGATTATGTTGTTTTGTTACTAGTGCTGCCAAAGTGTCCTGTGGCTGTTATGGAGGTTTCTTTGTTCTGATTTTATGGTATACAGTGGTACCTTGGGTTAAGTACTTAATTCGTTCCGGAGGTCCGTTCTTAACCTGAAACTGTTCTTAACCTGAAGCACCACTTTAGCTAATGGGGCCTCCTGCTGCTGCCATGCCGCTGGAGCATGATTTCTCATCCTGAAGCAAAGTTCTTAACCCGAGGTACTATTTCTGGGTTAGCGGAGTCTGTAACCTGAAGCATCTGTAACCTGAAGCGTATGTAACCCGAGGTACCACTGTAATGTATTTACACCTGTGATGTCAACCACTGGAAGCCTTTGGGTAACAAGTAACTAATTCCTGTCTTCTTACATCCCTATTTGTAGGTCAGGAGATGTGTGGGGCTCTTGAGCATCCCTCATCAGGGTCCCCGCCCAAACCCTACCAGCTCTTTTAATCCAGGCCCTATCAAACAAAGCTGGATCTACACATGCAGGAGAATGAGATAGCAGAGTCCTAACGTGGCAGAACTGTCTGTACCACTTCAGACTGCAGAAATAGAACCACATTTACCCTGCATGTAAAAAATAAATAAATCCTAGGACAGGAGGAGGAGGAGGACTGGACTAGAATCTTTCTTCCAGATGCGCTAGACTAGTTATTTGCTTGCAGGGAAATTATTTGTTTATCGTATATTATGAGAGAGCATTAAAAATGGCATCTGCTTTACAAAGCAGGACTCTACCATCTCACTCTACTGTGCATACAGATCTGGCCTTAGCCACAAACTCAGTGGATGGTTGTAGGGTAGACAACCCACTGTTATCTCAGTTTCAGCCTCTCCAAATACACAGAAGGGATAATAATACTGAGTCAATGCAACAAGAGGGAGCAAACAGCTGTAAAAGGCATGTAAGATAAGTTTAAACACATCTGTCCAGAAATCATGTTTCCTTTATTCCCAATGCATTTCGCACTTTGCTTTTTAACTTTACAATGAAGCAGATGAGCTTCTGCTCATCTGTAAACACTGACTCGGTGTTTATGATTAAAATAACCTGAAGCTCTTACCAGTCGGAAAGCTTGTGTTGACTGTGTAAATCACAAGAGTTGCATATCCTCTAAAATTTCGCTTAAGAAAATAGGGCGCTCATATATGTGTAACTCTCTTATTCTTACACAAAGATTTACTACTTTAGAACACACACACACACACACACACACACACACGAGTGCACACTGAAATTAGCTCTCATATCATTGTGTGTTAGTTAACTACAACCATTCCCTTCTTCAAAAAAATAAGAACATGTAATCTCACAATTGCTCTTTTTTATTATTATTACTGTATAGAGCTTTTGTTTTTATTATAGAGCTGGTGGAATCTGCAACAAAACATTGCAGGGTGGAGTGTGCCTGCTTAAGGTGCCTATCAGCCAGACATGCCCTCTTCAAGGGTGCACCATTCCGTTCTCCCTCCTTCCTGGTTTTCTGTCTCCCTTCCTCCAACAGACACTCTGACAACAGGCATTTTGTAACCACTGGGCCTGCTCAGGTCTGTCCATTATTCCTCGTATGGTTTATTCTGAATAAGGACAGGGGAGAAATGTTATTCAGTTTGCATTTGTCTGGCGAAGTCAAACCATAAGCTCTGGTTTGCACATGACACTAAAACAAACCATGGCTTGCAGCATGGCTGGTGCAGCAGCAGCAGCTTGACCAGGGGAGGAGCTGAGCGAGTGTGATTTTTGCCCTCCCCACAACTTGCTCGTTCATACTGAGCCCTAATTTGATTTAGTGTTAGGCCAATATATGTGAACAAAGTGTGCATATTTGACGCAGGTATTTCCAAGGTTTCAAGGGCTTACGCCCTTCAAACGTAATTCTGTGCTACACATAGAGGGAGATCATATGGACTTCATGGCATAATGCAATCCAGGTTCCCCCACCTTCCCGCCCTCCCTATGAGGAGCCTCAGATGCATTAAGACGCAGACTGGGAATCAAGAAACCCCCATCTCAGAAATATCTAGTTCTGGGCCAACAGGTCAGTCTCGTTTAATCAGAACTCGCTTTCTCTCTGCCTGGAGATTAGTGGCTCTTGATTTGATCCAGCCTGCCTCCTTGCAGAGCAGGCTGCGTATATCCTAGAGCAAATCTATTGGAAGTGATGTTTTCATTAGAAAGCCATATGGCGGGCTCTTAACTACGATTCTGCTTTCTGCAGGTGGTCAGACAGAAGGTAGGCAAATCTGCCTGGTTTCTCCTTTCCAAGAGACCGGCTGCCACGGAAATGATACCCACGCCTGCATCTGCAAGTGAGGCCCAATTAGCAGGAAGAAGACTCACCAGGGACTCTTCAGAAATAACTCGCTCCTTCCCCTCACTGGTAATTCCAGAAGACTTCCACCCCCAATAGTCATGTCCCCAGTCATTTGCCCCAGCTGCACTGCACTGCCAATGACCAGAGCGGGGCTTTCTATCCCTTTGGGATCCCCTGTGAGGTTTGCAGCACCCTTATCTCGCTCCGCAGTTGAATCCTCTTTAGCACAAGAAAGCCATGCCCTTTGCAGGACAAAGGGCTACCAGCTACTGCCTGACTTTCAGGAAGGCTGTAGCTCAGGGCTAGAGCAGAAAGTCCACAGTTCAACCCCTGGCATCTCCATGAAGGGCTGGGAAAGGTTGTTAGCTGAAAACCCTGGAGAGCCACTGCCACTCAGTGTAGACCATACTGAGCTAGATGGACCAATGGTCTGACTCTGTACAAGACAGCTTCCTATTATCCTCATGTCAAGGAGAGGGGGATTTGCAGCCTGGAGTTAGGGATGGGGAAGAAATTTCAGTCAGTTCATATTTAAATATGAACCTACCTAATTTGTGCTTTCTGAAACAACACACAAACCGAAATACAGTTGTACTTCAAAATTCAGACTTCTCCAGATTTTGCAGTGCAGTTCTCCAGGCCAAGTGGTGTGTACAAAAATGCATATACTAGGGTAAAGTGTGCACAACAACTTATATTGTAGGGGAAATAGCTGTAGTGAAAAGTGCATTGTATTAGGGAAAACAGCTTTGCAAAAATGTGTGTCAGGATAAATTTACACTAAAGCAATAGTGGAGTTTCATGAGGTTGTTGTTGTTGTTATTATTATTACAAGTTATGGAAATACGAACAACAAAATTTAAGATTGGAAATATAAGAAACAGAGAATCTGAAATGGACAGATTCACCCGACCCTACCTGAAGCCTGTGCGGAAGGGTGTGGAATGTGTGGCAGTAGCTGTGGCCTTCAGTCAGCAGGGAAAGAGACCTGGATGACGGTGTCAAGACTGGGTGGCTGCCATTTTAGCACACAAGAGGATGTGTGGAGGGGGGTGTTCAGCAGCGGCACATGGGAGTGAGGCTCAGACATGGGGAGTTTTGAGTAGCAGTTCAGACCTAGAATGGGAAGCTGGCAGTTTGGGGAGGTGCTGGCATTGATAGAGATTTGGGCAGACAAGATATCATGGGTGTTCAGCGGCACATTCAGGGAGTGTATCATCTGTGTATACATGTACAAAAACAGTGTAGCTGTACACTCATATAGTAATTTGTATGTAATGATCAGCGCGTGTCCTGTCTGTGTACCTGTGTGCATAATAGCTAAGCTGGGCTAATGAATGGCTGTTATACAACTGTTATAAAAGGTAAAGGTACCCCTGCCCGTACGGGCCAGTCTTGCCAGACTCTGGGGTTGTGCACCCATCTCACTCAAGAGGCCGGGGGCCAGCGCTGTCCGGAGACACTTCCGGGTCACGTGGCCAGCGTGACATCGCTGCTCTGGAGAGCCAGAGCCGCACACGGAAACGCCGTTTACCTTCCCGCTAGAAAGCAGTCCCTATTTATCTACTTGCACCCGGGGGTGCTTTCGAACTGCTATGTTGGCAGGCACTGGGACCGAGCAATGGGAGCGCACCCCGCCACAGGGATTCGAACCGCCGACCTTTCGATCGGCAAGCCCTAGGCGCTGAGGCTTTTACCCACAGCGCCACCCGCGTCCCCTATGTGTGCATAATAGCTAAGCTGGGCTAATGAACAGCTGTTATACAACTGTTATACATGTCTGGAAATAAGAAATAAGAGCTCTGTGCAAAGTGCGCACAACCCTACTTAGAGCCTGAAATCACCTGAGATTATATCAACAATATAAGCTTATATTGGTTTCATTCCACCTTATTTTTATTTTTTATGATTTGATTTATAAGCACAACAAAACACACACACACACACTTATTTACCACATACCGGCTTCTTTAACATATTTTTGCAGTGCTGTTCAGACCCTTGTGTCACCCTGCTACCTTCCTCTTGCTCTTTGGTACCATTTTTCTTCTTCTTCTTTGCCCTCACTGTCCTTGGCCTCACTTGCTCTTGTTGTCATCCCATCCGATTGACAAAATCACATGGTCTGCCACTGCCAATGATGTGACGATACTCTGAGTAACGTGGTCCCACCACTTTACGCTCATATGGAAAATCTGGTAGGTTGTTATCGCCAAACAGACTAAACAGCAGCAAGGGCAAGTGAGGGCAAGGACGAAGTTTAAATAGAATGCCAAGAAACAGTAGCTAAAGAAAGAAAAGAGCCCCCAAACAAAGCAAATGTTCAGCAGGGTTTGGGGCAGGGGCTTCTTTGAATGTGTATATTTCGGAGTATCCGTGGTGTGAACTTTGCACAAAGTCCACCAGCTGATGCACACGGAAATGAGGGACGTGTGATAAATGTTGTTTTAAAGCGAGAATTAGTGGCCACACAGTACTTGAAAAGCCTCACCAGCAAAGAAAAGGGCATTGCTCATTTTGATGCTGTTGATCTGGCAACTGTTTGATGACATATGTACTACATTAACAAACGGCATCTCTGTTCCCATCGTAGCATCACCGAGTGTCTCAGCTCTTGGCAAGACAATCGCTCATCTCCTCTTTGCAATGATGCGTCTTTGCCTCCTCTTGGGCCTTTCATGCAAAGATACACAGATATGAAAAATGCACTGCCAGGCGTGCTTGGGCCTAATGTACTGAGATGTGAATCAAGATGCAGATGTTTTCATTAATGAGTGCATCCATTTTCTCGGCATTCCTACAGTACCTCTTGCAGACATTTCCTTGGTTATTTCTCACATCTTCACATCTAGGGTCCAGAGGGGAAATGCCTTATGGGTTTTATTTTAATTAAAAAAAACACCTAAGAATAGCTCTAAGGACCAAAGGGGCTCTTGGAGCCAATGAAAGGACACCTCCAGATTTCTCAAACTGGTGGTTTCAGTGGCAGTGTTAGCACACCACACAAAAGCGTTGTTTTGTGCAACCTGCAATAGCAGGAACAAGCTACAGCAGGCCTTAGACTCAAGCACTCTCCTTCCTCTCTTCTGCTCCCAAATGGCTGAGGGTGGCAGACTAAGTAGGTGCATTAATGTTCTGTGGCTGCTTCCAGCAAGTCCTATGAGGAAAGGTTGAAGGAACAGGACATATGTGGCCTGAAGAAGAGAAGACTGAAAGGGAACATGAGAACACTCTGCAAATGTTCAGCCAGAAGAGGGCAAATACATGTTTTTTGCTGCCCAAGGTGGAGATGGCCAAATCTGTCCATTTCGCTTTCTCTCAGTTCCTAATTTTTCCATGCTTTAACTTCAGTTCTCCACATAAGTTTTCATATAGAATCACAAAATCATACTGTATTTTTTGAAAAGAAACTCCTCATGAAAAATCAGTGCAAATGTCTCCTAATATGATGCGAGTTTAGTGGTAGGAATTTCTCCTATACATTTTTGCATGCATTTTGGTAAAACCATTTCTCTTCATCTAAGACATTTTTGTATGTTATTTTCACTCATATAGATGCACTTTGCACTAATATATGCAGTTCTATACACACATTACTTGGCTGGAGAACTGCACTGCAAATTTTGGAGAAGTGCAAATTTCTAAAGATGGCTGTGTTTCGGGAAGTGCAAATTACATAAATTCAAATTTGACTGTGAATTGAATTGAATTTCTCCCCTAGTTGCACAAAATGCACAGATTTCTAAAAAGCTTCGGCCAGAGGCAAAAGTTAGTTTCACAAGGGCTGCTTGAGTGGGGGAAACTGCAGGCCAAAAACAGGCAGACACAAATCTACCTGAGAGCTCGCCAGGGGGAACTTCCCTCATCCCTCTGCTGAGCAGAACAGCTGACACAGATCCCTACCTCAGATGTCTCATTTGCACTTCAGATTTAGAGCTAGTAAGAAATGGCATGGGGCCCTTCTGAGCAGCAATACAAACCCGTTTTTCACTTTATCCATACCCACATAAATGAGAGAAACCCTTGTCTCACCGACATGCTCTCTGTGGATGCCAGAAGAGGCAAGGAAGGATACTGGTAACAACCACAAATAACAGCTTGGTAGTAAGTAAAGGTCACATTTGTGGACCCCCTGGAAAAAAGGCAATGTGCATGGGAAACAAACTCTTAATCCGCTTTTCGAATATAAGAGCTCAAACCATGCTGAAATAAGTCCCACTGTGTTCAATGGGGTTTCCTCTCAAATCAGGGCACACAGCTTTTCGAAAGGAGGGAAAGGGGCTTTGATGCTGTGCAAAGCTGGGAAGAAAATGACTTGGCAGACTTGTGCTCTTGGCAAGTAGGCAAAAAGTAGTCCATGTGCTTTGCAACTGCAAGCGTGCAATTTTCAGGATGCAAGAGCATTTTGAAGTTTGGGGCTTTAAACTCACGTCGCCGTAGGGCAGGTTTTGCAGTTCAGAAGTATTGACTTTATTTGCATTCTTCTGCTGGATTACTCTTAATGCCTTTTGTAGATAATGGATACTATGAAAACTATTCTTAAAAAATACTTGTAAAGTAAACAAAAGATGATAAAGAAAATGGAAGGTGAAATTTCAGTGGCGTTACTAAGAATCAAAGACAGAACTGTTTCCATGGGAAACAGTGTTTGTGTTTACCTGTGTGTTAGTTAAGTGTGTGCAACGGTGTGTGGATCTTGCCTCACCCACTACTGGAATATGCCCCCCAACAGCTTTCCACAGGGGTAATGTGGTCCAAAAAAGGTTCCACACTTCTGGTGCATAGGAATGGTGTTGCCTTCAGAGCTGTTGCCCACCTTTGTCTCTGGCTTCTGAATCTCTGACTTCCGAAAGTGTACCCCCCCCCTTTCAAGGTTCCCTTCAGTTAATATTGGCCTCCTTGCTGAATAAACCAATCCAAGCATGCAGCCCTCACACTAAGCAGTGCATGCACAAAGTTACTTCTCCCACATCAACACCACTCGCACGAACACCAGTGCTCTCCCACCAAGGAAAAATATCTGTGCCGAAAGAGAAAGGGAGGTTGAGATGGGGAAGGGAGGCGTGGGGATAGGGGAAGAGTGGGAAGCTGAGTGTCAAAACAGGAGGAGGGGAAATCCAGCAAGGTGAGTGCTCATTTTAAGAACAGCAGCAAACAAACAAACGCAATGGATTATACTGAAATCTCAGAACGACAATTACCAAGCGCGAGGCTCGGCTGACGCGATGGGGCGAGGAACCATTTAATAATGCATGAGGCGGCGAGTGTCTTTGTGCTGCTTCTGCCGATGCCTCCGTCATGTGGAGGAAATGAAAGGGGTAAAAGCCCCATCACTTCAGACTTGCCTTTAATTAATTCCTTGGAGTATGAGAAGGAGCCCAAAATAGTTACCGAGAGATGTTGCCACTGTACTCTGGAGAAGATGTGCAGCCTGCCACCAGGGCAGGAAAGCGAAGGACAATCCCTGGGCCATGTCTCATTCCAGGAGACCCAGACACTGGGGTCTGGCAGGGCTGAGACTTAGGAGAAGGATGAGGGAGGAAGTCAGTTTGGGTCACATCCTAATGAAAACCTACCTAATTTGCACACACCCCCAAAAGAAAAATCTGTGCAAACAAAAATGTAGTTAGCATTCAAAATGTGCACATTTCCAAATTTTGCAATTTTTCCAACAAGAAATATACAGAAAAATGCACATGCTAGGAAATGCGCATAAAAATCCATGTTAGTGAAAATGCTCACAAAATGCTTTTTATTAAAGGGTTAAGGTTTGCAAATGTGTGCATATTAGACAAAAAATACATGCAAAAATAGGTATATTGAGAGAAATGCTGGCTTAAATGCTGATCAAATTTCAGGAGGACTTGAAAAATAAAGAATAACAAGTCGATGCAGAAAGGTGGTGGACTGAACTCAAGACTGGAAAAAATAGAAACTAAATTTGATAGATTCGTCCGACCCTAGGCAAGAGTATTGGTATCCGTTTCCACAGCACCTTACCAGAATATTGGGACCTAGTATCCTATATGTCCCCCTTGGGGGCAGGGACACAATGCACAGTCACATGACATGTCATTTGACCTCTAAGGCTTACCAGAGCCCTTCAGAGCTTCTGGGGCTGATGGGAGTTGGAGTTCAGCAACCTGCAAAGGTTCCTCACACCTGGGTTAGCAAATAGAAGTTTATATGGTCCAGTCAATGCCCTGGCTGCTGCATTCTGCATTTGTTAAATGTTTTATCCTTATTTGTTTTCACTAAAGCTGCTTCTGAAAGCAGTGGCTGGTTCTTCTGGACAGCTGGCAACCTAAAACCAATCTACTTTCCTGTACCTGAGAAACACTGAACAATGTTTCTTCTCTCTCTGCCCCCACTCCCCATTCACACTGCCATATGCAATGACCCCTGATTGCAGCTTTCTCGTAACACACACGGCCATATTCCCAGGCCACTCGGTTCCTTCCAGCCAAACGGTGCCACCATAAATGCCCTTGCCTTTGGTTGCTAAGAAGCCACAGGACCTTTGTCACCTCACCTTCATCCCTGCCGCTTGGTCGCTGCACTGCAGCCCCAGAGACCAGAAACAACAAGCAAACGGGATCTCACTCTCACACTCTCGCTCTCTCTTTCACACGCACAGCACAAGATGAATTGGCTTCTCTCTCCTGTTCTGACAGATACATTATCTCATCTGGCTGGTTTCACAGTCCACAGGAGAACCAGGAAGTAAAGCTTGCTTTGCAATTAACTGATTGCAGCCTCTCTGTGCAGAAAAGCAGCAACAAGGATGGATAGGGAAGCAGTAGGCAAAGGGTGATTCCCCCTTGGAGGCAGGACTGGAGGCTTCCCAAAAGCAAACCATTTATAGTTGAAACTCTATGCAAGTTTACTTAGGGGTGCAGCCTACTAAGATCTACTCAGAGAAGGCCCATTGAAATTAATGGACAGAAGTTAGTCTGCTTTGAGTAGGACTAACATTGGCTATAACCATTAGCCAGAAGTAAGTCCAACTGTGTTCAGTGGGGCTCATTCCCAGACAAGCGAACACAGGAATGCAACTTCACGATTAAGCCATATTGGCCAGCCTTCCTCAACCTGGTGCCCTCCAGGTGTTGCTGGACTGCAACTCCCATTATCCCTGGCCACTGGCCATGTTAGCTGGGGCTTATGGGAACTGGAGTCCAACATTTGAAAGGCACCAGGTTGTGGGAGGCTGTCTTAGCCTGTGCACCCTCTCGAAAAGATGGTACAGAAAGGCTATTCAAAAGCATTTCGGGAACTTAGTAGGGTGTGAGAAATTACAGAGCAGCACCTATCTGATAACAAACACAAGAAATAGTCTCTTGTGGTACCTGAAAGACAAACAGATTTATTGTGGCTTTCTAGACTGCATCCCACTTCCTTGACAGCACTCAATCCATCTGATAAAAGAGGCTCTAGTCTGCCGATGTAACAATTCACCTGTGAAACCTTTGGAGACTAGGGATGGGGAAGATATTTAATTCAGTTTGCATCTGAAGGCAAACTTACCCAATCCATACTTTCCAAAACAATACGTGAACCAACACAACATCATCCTTAGAAACTCACATTTATCCAAATTTTGCACTGTGGTACTCCAGCCATGTGTTCAAAATATGTTCAAAAATGCATGTGCTAGGATGAAGCATACATAAAACGTCATTTATTAAGGGGAACTAACATACCAAAACTCTTTGCATTGGGAGAAATTGCATAATTTTGTAAGCATTTAAATGTGGGTGGATTCTGGTGAGGGCCTTTTTCTATTTAAAAAATGATGTGGAAATGTGGAAAACTGAATTTACAGCTGGGAAAATGAAAGGAACAAAAGTTGACAGAGTAAACCACCCCCAATTTTGACACAAGACTCTTTCTTGGTCCACTTGCAAAATATTCCAGCCTCCTATCAGAGTATTCTCTTGAGGTGCCACCTCTCACAACTTAATTATCTCCTGTATCTGATAATTGAGCTCTGTTCCTCTGTAGGGAAGCCTAACATGTGGTGAGGCTTTACCCTTTCAAAGAATCCTCTTGAGACACTCCCAACTGCTATTTGATAACCGCCTTTATGATGATGCAATGCCTACTTTCCCCAATCTTCTATCACTTAACCTGCCAGTATCTCCAGATTATTCCTAAACATTGCCAAATGGTTCCAAGGCTGCTTGACCCACACATCACTCTGCCCAATGGTAGGACTGGCCCCATCTCTCTTGCATTCCCCCCACCACACACACAGTTGCTGCAATAAGTACGCAAGAAGAGCCTGCTGGGTTAGGCCAATAGTCCATCTAGTCCAGCATCCTGTTCTCCAAATGGTCAACCGGATGCCCCTGAAAGCAGGACCTGAGTGCAACAGCCCTCTCCCCTCCTGTAATTCCCAGCAATTGCCTCTGACTGTGGAGGCAAAGCATGGCCATAATGGCTAGTAGCGACAGATAGCCGTTACATCTACAAATTTGTCTAATTCTCTTTAAAAGCCATCTAAATTGGTGGCCATTACTGCCTCCTGTGGGAGCATGTTCCACAGTTGACAATGCACAGTACGAAGCAATTCTTATTTTGTTTGTCCCAAATCCTCCAACATTCATCTTCACTGAATGTCCATGAATTCTGAGAAATGGAGAATAGGAGGTCTCCTTCCACCCCTACAGAGGAAATGGCGGGGGCTGCCCTTCGGGTCTCCTGAGCTCTGCACCTTCCCAGCATGATTCAGCAAGGGCCCATTTCCTCCTGCAACAGACTTTTATTCCCAGTTCAACCACTGGGCAAGGTTGATTAGATTCCCTGCCATCCCGTTCCTGATGTAGATCTTTACTCCCCGCTATTTCTGTGGTGGACAGGATCCATTTTGAGGTTTGCCTCAGGTGCCAAAATGTATGGAGCTACCACTGGGCTAGTTCATACGTTCTGGCACTCCTCTCCCTTTTGCAATTGTGCATGAACCTTCTGTTTGGAACACTCACCTCACACATGGCATGATGGTAGGGTGTCTTACATTGCCCATTCGATACCAATGTCTTTGTCTTCAGTTGTTCAGACATCCTGGGCCCTTATAGCTTAATCTCACTCTGTTGTTCTCTCATGATGTTGCAGTGGAGCCCCTGAAAACTCTGACAGAGCCCAAGACTACATGATCTCCAACAATCTGACAGGCGCATTTTCCACCCTCCTGCGTTCACAGGAAATATTTGGTATGTGCAAACATTTATTTGGAGGTGTAACATTTAAGGCCTGCAAATATTTGAAAATGCAACCTTCAGGAATGTGGGGCCCATAAATCAGGCTCATTTACCCTCAGAATCCACAAGGATGAATTATTTCCTCACAGCATTCAGAGATCTGGTCATGGTGCGAGCCCTAAAACATCCTGAGATGTTTGATTCAACGTTATAGGGGGGGGTGCTGTTTTGCTGTGCCTGGTGAAGAGGCAGCCCCCTCTTTTAGGTACTCCACAGCCTAGAAGTAGTGAACAAAAGGTGTTTTAATAAAAAGCCCATTAACCTGCTCTTGAGTACTAAAGCTTTCAAAAGAACGTAATGTGCCTCTTCATAACTGGGAACCTCGATAAGGCAATGTTTGCTAAGTTAACACTTAGTTCCCCTAAGTTCAAGGTGCTGCTACTGCTGCTGTACAAAGCCCTATAAAGCTTGGGATCTGGATACCCAAAGATCACCCTTTATAGACCCAACAGATAACTACTCTGCAGGAGAAGGTCCATTCCCTACAATGCTGGAGTCAGGTCTCTAGCATGGTGGCAGCTTTGGAAGGCCCCCCACTACATATTAGACCAGGGGTTAGCAAACTTTTTCAGCAGGGGGCCGGTCCACTGTCCTTGTGGGGGCCGGGCTATATTTTGGGGGGAAATGATGCGGGAGCACCACAAGCCCCGGTGGCTTGTTACCTGTGTCTTGTGAGCGGCAGGGGCTGGCAGCGGCAGTGGAGGAGGAACGATGAGTGGCGCGCGAAAGGGCTCCAGAGAGGGACTGCTTAAAATGGCGGCCCCTCAAGCGTTGCTGCTGGCACCAACAAAGCCCAGCCCCCTTCCTCCTCTAGGCAGGACAGGGAGAAGCCAGGAGGAGGGATGGAGGAGGCACCGCCACCGCCGTCGTGTGAGGAAGAGGGAAAGAATGTGCGCACTGGCAATCCACACAACGATTCCTGGACCGTCCGCAGGCCGGATCCAGAAGGCAATTGGTCCCGATCCAGCCCGCAGGCCTTAGTTTGCCGACCCATGTATTAGACAGTCACCACCTCTGTTGTCTTTTGGTGCCTGCCTGGTATTGAATCCCTTCCTCTTTCAACAAGCCTTTAAAGCAGAGCTGTATCCCAGTCTGCATCTGCACTGGATTTGAATGATTTTATAACTGAAATTGGTTTTTAGATCTGAAACGCTATTTTTGAAAGTACATTTAACAAAGAAACCCCATTCCCCTCCTCCTACCCCACCCCACCCCAGACATTCCATGCAGGTTAGTATGTTCCAGTTACTTAAGTAGCAGGTAAGCTTATGAAATACTTCATGCTGTTGGTTTTGATCTCTGTCCAGATCGAGCGTCTCTTCCATGTTTCTTAACAGGTTATTCCAAAATGAACCATGAGTTGATGGTGGCTACACTGTTTATTCAACACATAGGAAAAGACCAATACTAAACTGTTTCAAAGTCATCCTTGCTTTTTGTATTCCGCAGTGCCCCAAGTCCTCTCTTTGAGGACTACCGTATTTTTCGTCCCATAGGATGCACCTAGTTTTTTGGGGGGGAAATAAAGGAAATTTTTTTTTCTTTATTTCCCCCCCAAAACCAGGTCGGGGAATCCAAACCAGGTGGGGGAACAGCGGGATGGCGGTGCTCCGCCTCCCCGCTGTCCCCCGAGCTTGTGGGGCTGGCGCTGGGGAGAAGCGTGCTTCTCCCTAGCGCCAGCCTCCAAACTAGGTCGGGGAACAGCGGGATGGCGGCGCCTCCCCGCTGTCCCCCGAGCTTGTGGGGCTTCCTGATGTCTGCCCGAAGCGCGGGGCACTCTGCTTCAGCGCGCCCCACGCTCCGTGCAGGAGGCTGCTATCCGCAGCCTAAGGAGCCCTGCGGGAGTTCCCACAGGCCTCCCTAGGCTGCGGATGTCTGCCCGAAGTGCGGGGCGCTCTGCTTCAACGCGCCCCGCACTCCGTGCAGGAGGCTGCTATCTGCAGCCTAAGGAGCCCTGCGGGAGTTCCCACAGGCCTCCCTAGGCTTGCTGATAGCTTCCTGAAGCCTGGAGAGCGAGAGGGGTCGGTGCGCACCGACCCCTCTCGCTCTCCAAGCTTCAGCGAAAGCCTGCATTCGCCCCATAGGACACACACAGATTTCCCCTTTATTTTTGGAGGAGGGAAAGTGCGTCCTATAGGGCGAAAAATACGGTATATATTAAAAAGATTTTTGGTACTGAGATTGTTGCTGCCTCACTCACTCAGGCCCCCCCTGTGGGCTTCCCACAGCCACCATATCAGCCATTGTGAGAACAGGATGCTGGCCTAGATGGGCCAATGGCCTGATCCAGCAGACTCAACTTAGGTTCTTATGTCCCTAAGTTGTCTTGTTAGTTTTTCCATTAGGGCTACATTCCACACCCTCTCCCATTGTGCCACTAAATTCATGTTGGTAGCCATCTCCCAAGGTTGAATAATTAGCAGTCTAGCGAAACTGCTTTTATTGCTGATGGTTTTTTTATGGATAAGCACTTTCAGCTGTTTCACAGAAAGTGATTTGTGCATAAAATTAAATAAATAAAATACATAATTTAGTAAACTGACCACAACAGTTTCTAAAGAATATTTCATAGAACATTTACTTAAATTTCACCATAGACCTGCTTGCATTTATCATGGAATAGGGTACAAGTCAAAAACATTCAGCCACTCTTACTGTCTTGAAAGGTGTTCATGGCAGGGTGAGGAAAGCAGCATGGATTTAGATCCACTGTGGATCAGGCCAAAGGCCCATTTAACCCACCATCCCATTCTCACAGTGGTCAACCAGGTTCCTGTGGGAAGCCCACAAGCAGGGCAGGAATGCAAGAGCTCTTCCACTTGTGTTCTAGTATTCAGAAGCATGCTACCTCCAGCTGGAGGTAGAACCTAGCCATTGTCTCTATTAGCCATTGCTAGCCTTATCCTCCAGCATCACTCCCAAAATTACAAGAAAGTGTAGACTGCTACTGGTGAATAGAGATAGGCCACGTGCACACCATACATTTAGAGCACCATTATACCCACATTTAAAGCTCTGTTACGCCACTTTAACAGTCATGGTTTCCCCCAAAGAATCTTGGGAATAATAACTGGTTAAGCCATACCCTCCAAAATATTGCAGATGAAAATAGGGACATTCTAAGGAAAAGCAGGACATTCCGGGATCAAATCAGAAACCGGGACGGCTTCTGTAAATCCGGGACTGTCCCTGGAAAATAAGGACACTTTGAGGGTCTGTTAAGGGTGCCAAGAGATATTAGGAGACACACACACCCCGTTCCCTTCACAGAGTTACAGTTCCGAGAGTTCCCTAGGAAAGAGGGAGTGACTATTAAACCACTCTGGGATTGTAGATGTGAGGGGGATAAGAGTTTCCAACAACTTTCAGTACCCTTAACGAACTACAGATCCCAAGACTGACAGATTCGCCCATCCCTATATCAGGGAGATCAAAACAGCAGCTCCAAGTCATCCAGCACTGATCACTGCAACGCCTGCAGCCATAGGCAAGCCTGCAGGAGTCCCCCAAAACCTGGAATCAGTGCTTATCATTACTGTAGCCTGTGTACTCAGATCTCTGTGCAATCGCTATGAATTCCAAATGTCACTCTTCTCTCTGTAAAAATGGTGATGACCCCCACTATGTGCCAGTAGTTTAACGCTTTACTATCTGCCTGACAATGTCAGAACTTTCATTATCTTTTCTCCCTTCTTCTTCCCCCAGCTTCTAAGTAATATCTTTAATTTGTATTTTTTTCTCTAGACGGTTTAGAAGATTCAAATTTTAGCCTCTGAATGAATTGCACGTTTTGTTATTCTGTTTTATCTGCACGGCTTAATGTTACGATGAACATTAAAATAATAATTTTTAAAAGAGCTGAAATCCACATCAGAAATACGTTGCTTGGTTACTATTTAGATTTTGGTTCCATTTAGTTAAAACGATTGCTTAATGTTTTCAAGATCATAGCAGATGCCAAATTAAAAATTAGCGGATTTGATGCATTTATATATTCCACATTATTCTTGCACAAAAATGCCCAACCTTCTAGGGCCAGAAACTCTGCTTGGTTTATGGACTTCCCATAACAATCAGGGAACAAACAAATTAATTTGGACGTGACCTCAGATTTCCAGAGGCTCAAGTTGTAAACCATCCCATTTTACCTCACCCTTAATAAGGACTAGGAATATCTTTCTGTGCTGTGCTAATTCTTGTTCGGTGATTTATGATGATGTTAGATATTTGTGGATTATTCTGTTAAATTATTGTGTTTTCATCATTTTGACCAATGCTCAGAGGTAGGAAGGGAAAATAATATGACAAAACAAATAAATAAATAAATGCACAACGAAAGATGCCAATCATTCATTGTACCATCAGATACTTCGCACACCTACTGAACACGCATGCCAGTGTTGTGCTGTGGTCAGTGTTGAACTAGAACCCTGGAGCTCATGTTTTAAATCCCATCTCAGTCATGAAGCTCACTGGGTGAACTTGGACTGGTCACCGTCCTTCTGCCTAACCTTTTCATTTAATGTTTTAATGCAGGTTGTAAACCGCTTTGAGATTTTTCCCCCTTAAAAACATAAAGCAGTATAGAAATGAAATGAATAATAATAATACCTCACAGGGTTGTTATGAGGGAAAAATGAGGAGGGGGTGAACCAGGGAGGAAGATAGGATATAGATTTAATAATAAATAAATGTAATAAATTCCAAAATGAGATACAGTTTTCAGTCAACTTCAGAGAAGCATACTTGGTTGACTGAATAAATACAAGAAGGAAGAGAGGGAAGGGGATACTTTCTCCTGGAGCGGCTGGCAGGTAGGCCAGCACTCGGAGGAGCCAGTCTTCTGGCATCACAGTTTTCTGAGACAGGGCACAGCAGACACAACAAGGGTGCACTGAGAGACCCAATCCAGTGTTCCTACTGGTCTGCTTGCACCGCACCGATCTGAGAGTTATTAGCAGCCCGTTATTCCCCCTCACAGTTCTAAATCCCAGAATGGTTTCACAGTCCACCACTCTTTCCAAAGGAATTCTGGGAACTGTAAGACAATGAGGGAAACAAGGGTTTCCTAACAACGACTGGTGCTCTTAACACCTCCCAGGATTCTCTGAGGTAGCCATGACTGTTTGAAGTGGTATAATACTGCTTTACTCCATATACGCCCACTTGACATCTTCAATTTGTGGAACTGGCACATAATATGCCACAAAATGCCCTCTCCACATTTGTAAGAA